ATATATATATATATATATATATAAAATACTACTGGGTAATTGTTGGTTTTTCGCATAGTGGATCATTTTTATGGGGTTTCATCAAAATCTGAGAGGGTCATGCTGGAACTTTTTTGAAATCTGGTAGATTTGACACGGAATGACCCATATAGCTTAAATGAGATATGTAAAATAGATGACACATGTTAGGCACTCATCCCTCTTATTCTCTTGATATGCTGTAGGCAAGAAAGCATACTATATTTTATTGTGTAAAGTGTTAATAAACATATTTTCTAACACAGTTACTATATAATGTGACTTAATAACATAATTTCTCATAACAACTTTGTAATACATTTTGCTTTAAATTATATACTCTGTAAATCATAATTATATATATTAGATCGCATAAATGGTTCTTTTGAATCTGTTAATGTAAAGTTTATAACTTAAATGTACATAAAAGTAAATAAAAAGTATATAAAAATATTTAAAATTTAAATACAGGTAATTAAAACTAAAAAAAAAATAAATGAAACATTCAATAGAAAAACAAGGAATAAAAAAGTAATAAAAAAATAAATCTAAGAATAATAAAAAAGATAAAAATTTATAGAATTAAATAAAGTAATTAAGTAATACATTCCATATCCTGTCCGAAAAGTAATTCATCAGGCAAAGCAACTCCTTGTATTACATCAATAATTTTCAATCAGATTTCAATTAATTAAAAAATTTGTAGAACAACTAATTGTAGCATAAAAGTTTTTTTTTTTTAAATTTAAGATTGATATTTAAAAATGGTATTTCAGTTTTAATTGGTATATTATGAATGCTCACTTCCCATTCCTACCTTACCGTGAATATGGGAATTTATATATTCAGGCCATTGCATTCTATATCTATTTCCTAAGGCTTTTCTAAAAAAAAAAATTGTTATATAATGTTCTGAAACATAGAGGGCAGTATGACTGTTACATTTTTTATTTGAATTGTCCAGATTTATACTGTTAGGCAAATGGGTTTGGGATTGACAATAGCGATTATATGTCACATTCGACAAATAATCTGCGATTCCCTTACTTACATATTACATTGTAGTATGATTTTTTTTACATTATATTCCTGATTTTTTTGGAAGATACAAGTGAGGAATTGGCACTGAACATTTTTAAAACCAAGGGGAAAAGCTTGAAAGAAATGTGGAAACTAACCTACAGTATTTAATGTACAGTATCCTAAAAAATGTGGATATGGTTGAACAAACTATAAAATACAAAATGTATCAAGGCATATGGTAGCATAAATGATAAGCTCTCTTTACCTATAAGAATGTAGAAGATTAAGTTAATTTGATTAAGTTTATGTTGTTTTTATATTCCTATTGCACTTATAACTTGAATGTTATGTCTTAAACAAATGAGTCTTGAAGAGCCATTGGATCATCAAAGTCTTCCGGATATTTGATTGCAATGTATGTCTGAAATGGGTAGTCCTTCAAACACATGTGTTTCTGAAATTTAAAATATAAACAATCATTTTTATAATTTTTATTGGCTTAAATTGCAAAGGAAAGCATATACAACTCAATATACCTGAAATTGTACTATTTTCCACCATATCTAGTGCACCTAATTTTTATTTTTTGACATTATTTATTATGTATTCCAAATCTTGCACTGTAAGATGTACATTAAGATGAATCTTGAATTTCTTTTTGAAGAAAGGCCTTATTACAGCCTGGGAGTCCTATTTTTGGCACCTAGAGGTGCTTCTTCTTAAACATTCCTTCAAACACAGTGGGGCTTAGGTGAATTTGGACCCTTGTCTGGGAATTTGGACCTCTACAGGATCTTGACCTCTGTTTGTGGGCCTAAATGCGTCGTATGACGCAGCCCGACGCGATTTGCTGTCGTGTCGGGTCTGGGTGGGTTAAACGCAGACGCGATTGTGTGCGTCGGGGGCAGTCGCGCCGTAGAATATTAAACATGTTTAATATTTCTGACGACGGCTTAAGACTTTCCCCGACGATAAATCGGGTCGCGCTGCGTCAGCCGACGCTGTCTGAGTTGGCTTTTAGATTCAAAGTACTATACATAGCGGAATTTCTGGTACCGCCACTGAATGATTTAATGTAAAGCACTATTCATGTGTCAAATATCTGTAAATAATTTGCTGATGGGCGTGATATGACATCATCATGACATCATCATGCCAATAATGGCAAATCACAGATCTTTGTCACAGAAAATTTATGTATATCCATAGTCCAGTTAATACCTTGCTTGCAGATTTGAATAACTTAATTTCTTTTGCCACCAGATTAATCGAAGGTCTACTTTCGGGTCGCCGATGCCAGCAACTCAACATTAGGTTGTAGAGGTCTTGGGAGCAGTGCCGTGGCCATTCCATTCGATAGTGCTCCTTAAGCTTCTCCTTCAGGTTCCGCAACTTGATGTCAGCATAAGGAATCCCACCTGAGGAAGCAAGGATTAATTTAGCCATGGAGGGATGTTCAGGTGATATTTTACTATGCATTTAAAAGTTTAGTAGTCATAAATTTTCTTCTATATTTGATTCTGGATATGTGATACAATATATATTCTAGCCATTGATTGATTGATTGATAGAATATGTTTCTACTTGAATAATGTTGTTTTGATCACTTGAAAAATATATTTTCTCTGGACCAGTTGATATTTTTTATGTAAAGTTAATATGCAGCCCATGCTTTCTTTTCTTTACCTTGTTTACTTGTAACTAATCTGAGTTAATTTTATGAAAATATCATTATCATACTCTTTGTAAAATCTCTGATCACTTGGTTGACTTCAAAATTAATTTGTTTTTGTTGTACCTGTAGTTGTTTGTTAAGACACTTTTCTTCTAATCCCAGGATTCAGGGTTCAAATCCTGTCACAACTTACATTTTTTCTACATGATTTTGAAAAGCTCAAGTTCCTAAGCCTCATAAAGATACTTAGTTTATAAAGTATTCTGGGTTTAATGGGACAACAATAGTACAATACCGAACATGTTTCAAATATAAATTTTTTTTTAAATAAATAAACATCTTATATTAATGTTGGGTTTTAAAATAATACATAAAATATAAATTATTTAATGGAGAAAGGTTGAACTCACCTAAGGTCACAATTTCATACAACAGCATTCCATAAGACCAGCTATCAATTAAAAGACATGTGTTAATTAATATTTTAATTATATATAGCTTTTGGTACATATTACAAATATATAGTTTTCTTAAACATAATGATTTTTTTGTTGATGTGTTGTGGATTATATTGTTGCATTTTGATCAAAAGTCTTTGTAAAGGTGATGGATGATTATGACCAATAATTATTTAAAATTTTGTATGAAATTATTTTTAAATGAAGTTCTACATTTATAAAAATGGGAAATATTTAACATGTTTTTAATTACTACATACACTTCACTTTTGGAGTTATAAATTCCCTCTATTGTGGCTTCATATGCCATCCATCTTTTCTTTTGCTCCTGTTATAAAAAAAACAATTGTTGGATATCTTGTACATTGTCACATATAAATGTAAAATTGTAGAATATAGCTTTTGAAAAACATAACATAAAAACGAACATTCAATTAAATATTGTCTATAAAAAAAAATGATATCTTACATCATGGTGTGGCTTGTACTTAGTGTATTGGTCTGGTTCCTGTATTTCCACTGCTCTTCCAAAGTCACAAATTTTTGCTTTATTGTTGAATGTGATGAGAACATTTTTAGCACATACGTTCATATGAAGAATCTGGAAAAAAAAAAGAAAAGCAATAACAGGATGTAACAGTTCTTAAAACAGTAGTCTTAAAAAAATAGTTCTTTACTCAGCAGTTGTTCATATAATTTTAGCTAGCTTAAGTTGTTAGTGTTACCTAATTTCTGTCTCTGCATACATGGTCGTGTAGCGGGACAAGGGGTGCCGCTACCCCCTCCCCTCCCGTCAGGGAGAAAAACGACAATTCGTCAGGGAAGGGAAAAAAATTATACTGTATGTATTTTCTACATTTGTATTCGATTAAATAAGCCTTTGAAACCCCTAAATTGTCAAAATTTTAGGAGGCTTTGCCCCTTGGACCACTTTTGTAACATTTTAAGCGACGCTCGACCACGCTCTCGTGGAGAAAATCCCCCGGGGGAGTCGGATCCCCCGTTTGGCAAGTTCTGGCGCCACCCTTGTCCCTTCATTGGTAGATCCCCATGGACAGTTTCATACCAGCATCCCAAGTACTGATACACACCCCTAGAGAGTCCAAGTGCTTAAGACCTAGGATGACATCATTAGCATAACCAAGCAGCTCATCCTCAGGAAGTGGATCCACTGCTGGCTGGTCTCGTCGTCTGCTTCGACATCTTCTCAAGATCCTCTGCATGTTGCCCCTAGCAACAAACTCCATCACCAAACAAAGCTGAGCTGTACACAAATAAGAAGGTAATTAAAAGCAAATACAATACTCAAAATGCCAGATCATAATTGTCAGTTCACTATAATTAAGTAATGTTTGGCCCAGTTAATATTTGGATGGGAGACTTTAGAAGACGGTGCTATAATACCCCTAGTGATTTTAGTAGCTGTACGGTTGTGTATGTCATGATCATCAACGGGTTGGAACCTCCTTCCTAGTCCTTATCCGAGAATACTTGTTCTACCACCAGAACCTTAAGTGAGTGTGCCGTTTGAACCAGCGCCGATATTATCGCGGCGCCCCTGCTAACCGCACGACCATTTGACTCGCTGATAAGCCCAGTGTATCCTGTGTGCACTTCCTAAATTTGAGTAATGTAGGGGTTAACTTCTTGGTTTGGTCTACCCCAGCTCCTATCATTGAAATTCAGTCTTATGAAGGACATGACTCTTCCTATCTCATTGTGCCCAGGTAGTTCCCAATGCCTCCATTTATAAGGACTACTTTATGAGGAGAAAGAGGATATCCCTATCTTACTGTTCCCTGGTATTCCCTTTACAACAATCAACCAAAAATATTTAGAGTTAGTTTATAAACTTATATGTTTGAAGGTGCTTTGACAACAGCTATGCAAAAAATGTACTGGATAATATGTTTTAAATTTTTCTTGAATGTGTTCACAGTTGTTGCTGTTTTAGAGTCAAATGGAAGAACATTCCATAGAGTAGGTGCTACAATAGAGAAAGCACAATGATTTGATTAGGAGGGGGGAAATACTCCACTTCCTCCCCTTGGTGTTTTTCTTGAAGTCAGTGACTTGATAAACAGGGACAAGAGACCCCCCTACATTTCCCCCCGATAATGAACTTACTTGATTGTTCCAGAGTTCTTGAACACATTCCTAGCAGTTGAACTGTATTGTTATTTTTACCAACTGTTGACAGAATACTAAACTCATTCAAGATCTCATTTTTACTTGCTTCATCACTTTCATCTGTATGGTTGGATTGGGGAAAAATCAAATCCTTTGCTATGCATATCAAACAGTATTATTAATATAAGTTTATTTATTTATGTATATTTTTTTGTGTGTATTCGTAATACCAACATAATTATCGCTGGCATTTATTATTAGTTTATTAGTATGAGATATTAGCTCATTATTTTATTGATTATTATACAAGATACAAAATACCATTTAAGAAAGTTATAAAGGTTTCATAATATTAATTTACATATATTTGTATATTTTACATATTTATTTTCATTTGTAAAAATAAGTAAGAGTTTTATTATCATATTGTCATGTATTTGTGCCATTTATGTTTTTTATATATTTGCCAGAATTATTCCCAGATCATTGTTCTCCCAAAGCTGGTTTAGCCATCAATTTTCAGTAAAAATAACTGACCAACCAGTAAAAATTGTGTTTTGGTAGAAGAAAAAAAAGCACTTGTTAGGCCTAGGTAGCCTAGGCTGGCCTTCTTTCAATAAATTAACATCATTCCAGTCAAGGGCTTGGCTATGATCATGTATTATTGTTTTTTGAAGCCATTTAACTCGAATTAAAAGTGGCAATACCTCATGTTGCATGTGCTTAGCTGGCTAACAAATTTACCAGTAAAAATTTTTCAATTGGGAGAACACTGCAGATTTATGTTGTTTTTTTTTAAATCCATAGGTTGTTTTGGGAATTTGATTAATCTTCTTTCCTCCTGGGCTAGATATCTTCATTATCGCATTCATCACATCTATCCACTGCTGAAAGATGATGCATACCGAAAGAAAAATCTGTGAGGATTCATATTTTCTACATCTAGGGAGGTCTTGCTCATCAGCCTAATCATTCATGTGGGATCTTTCCCAATTATTAAGATGATGGAAGATGATATTACCTTTAAGAAGCTTAACAGCGACTTTGGTTTCTACCACGGTGTCATCCTCTTTCATTGATCCTTCACACACATACGAGAACTTGCCGCTGCTTAGCAGTTTGCCTAGCAATAGGTTACTTTCCTTTACGTCCCACTTCTCTTGGAGTTCATGGACTCTTTGTGAACTTAAACCATCAGGAATCAACAAGTCTGAACTTTTCTGGTAAAGTAAATGGAATAGTGACGGGATTAAACATTCTAATAATAGGAGAGTCATCTATATAAAAGCTAAATTTATTATATTAGATTATTATTATTACAATTTTTTATATTATTATTATTACTGTACAGAGACATTCTCAAAAACAACAACAGTTCTTTTTAGAACTATCTATGTAGTGGTACTGCAAGAATTTAATATATTGTTGTTGTTGTTGTTGTTGTTGTGTTGTTAATATTATATTGTTATTATTATTAGTTTTATTATTAATATTATTAACACTGAAACACATAGCTTTCTTGGCTTTGTAGTTAATTTTAGTTATTTTAAAGATTTACATGAATTGTTGTTTTGCAATAAGAAGTATCTGTAGTATATACTGTAATCTAGTTGTAACATACCGTAAAACTTCAAAAAGAAACCCAGTACATTATTAGTGACCCACTACTCTAATAGTGGCCTAGAATAATTTTAAAAAAAAATATTCCACAATTTTACTTGTATATTTATTCATGTGAGGTGTTGACTCAAGAAACATTGTTGAGTTAATATTTTCCAATACCTATATTATGCTTAATAATAGTGACCCGGTACTCTAATTGTAACTTATCCTAAAAACCAAACAAACTAATAGTATCCCAGGGTTTCTGTTAGAAGTTTTACAGTAATTAGTAATATTTGAGGTTGCTGTTACATATCAAGCAGAATATGTATTTTCAATAATCAAGTGAGAGTCTTCGCCATTGAGGGAAGTAATCATATTGAGTACTATATCATGTTTAGTAGACATCCTAAGCAACAGAAAATTGCAACACATAAACAGTAGCATGCAATTAAGGAGATAAAATTGGTTACAGCTCTTCAGTTGGATGAAAAAATTAAAGAGAAATACTGTTGTACGTAAACTAATCTAAATAATAGTTCCCATTCAGATACAAATATTAGGCCTTAATGGATCTTGGTAATAATACAAGCAGTGGAATTGCACAGCTTCAATGACCATCCAAAATGATGGCTACTGTATGTAAAATGATGCATCCAAAAAATAATGGCCATCTAAAATAATGGCCATGCAAAATGATGGCCATGCAAAATGATGGCCATCTAAAATGATGGCCATCCTAAATTAAGGCCATCCAAAATGATGGCCATGCAAAATGATGGTCATACAAAATGATGGATATGCAAAATGATGGCCATCCACAATTATGACCATGCAAAATAATGGCCATGCAAAATGGTATATTAGTGATGGCTGTTTGATATAGCAACTGTGCTAATTGACATTATGATTTGATGTCTTAGTGATTTGATGACAATGCAGTTTGAGGTCCATGTCACTATAGGTCATAAAAGTTGATGTCAGGGCCATTTGATGACAATGCTATATGACAGTCATTGTATACTTCAGTAGTAGTAAAGCATTTTCAAGAAAATTATAATTAGCCTCTATAATATCACTATAGTAACATTAATTATGATATAAATTTTTGATGAGTGCCATTTTCAGAACAGATAACAAAAAATGACTTCATTGACTCTCATGAATTATTGTGTTCGAATGCATTCTTGCATTTCAATAAGGATTAGTGGTAATCAAAATGTAAGCGTTCATTTTTTGATGAAATGTAATTAGTTATTTGAGGTCTCCTGGGTGGATTTTATGTAGTAGTATTGGTAGACCAATATCTAATTAAACTAATAACAGATGATACATAGGAGCAATTTGAAAATTCAATTAATAGAAATAATTCTCAGTTAAGGAAACAGAAACTGAACTATAGCCAATGACAAAGTATTTAGAGAAATTGAAGTGAGAGAAAAAGTATCCAGGATTTTGAAAAAGGGGATGCTTGAATAAAAATATTACATCCACTAAACTTCATGCAAATGCGCAAAACTAGGAACGGAGCATATATATCGGTATGACTACTGCTACACTAGAAATTGGCTGTTTAACGTTCAAAGCAAAATTTATTATTTTTTGGTAATCTAAAAAAAGTGGTGCTGGCCAAATGATAGGTTTTGGAAACTTTATAACTAAAAGTTGCTAACATAGTTTAGTTTATACCCGATGCACAGGGGTTTGCTGCTACATTGGATTTATGTGATAGAATACACATCTATGAAAAAATTAGCATGTATACCATATATAGCTATTTAAGAATAAGAAAATATAATAGTCTGTAACACATTGAGCAAGGATCGGTGCTTATGGGAGCAGCTAATATTTTACTATAGTGTTGTGCATTCCTTCACTATCAGCATCAATTCACTTGTATGAAAACAACCTTGTCTTGGTAGGAATATCTCCAACATACAATTCCATTATTTTTAAGCTTATAACAGTAGACAATAAAAACATGGTACAAGGTAGCAAATGATACACCAGACTTATACAGTGAGTTCCAAAGAAACAGGAAATATAGAAAACCTTATTTGATGAGAGTAGTATTTTGATGATTAATTTTTGTTAGTAAAGTTAGTAAACTTACAGTGTAATGACCGGACATAGACTGTCCATTTACCTTAGCTGTTTGGACATTATACTTCTGAGATTTTCTGTTCATCTTTTGTGGTTTTTCTCTGTAGGTTGCCCAGTAAATAATAAAGCAAACCCATGCAAAAAATAGCACTACTCCTCCACTCACTCCTGATATTATTATGATGGTTTTGGTCGATATACCACTTTTCTGAAATGATATAAGATTGTTAAAAGGTGATATTATCAATATCTGTTCTATTTGGTTGTATTACTAAAGCTGTGTTCACATTAGATGAAGTTTGACCAAGACCAAGAGCAGCTTTATCTTGGCTAAGATGCTGTTCACACTTGGATTTTACCAAATGTGCAACCATAGCATGCCATCAAATGTAGATACTGAAAGTCCGAATTCAAACTTTTGCTGCAAAAATTGAATAATGACATTTTTTTATTACACACATGCTTGAGGAAAACAACCTGGTATTATTTCTTTAAATTGTATTTAAAAGCATCTGTATGAATGAGAAAATAAAAACAAACCTTCTAAAGAATTAATAAACCAAGTGTGTGAGGTAAAAAATATTTACTGTACTGTATGAAAAGAAAAAAAAAATTAATATAACATACAGTATTTTATTTATTATGAAAAGTAGAACTTGAATTTATGATTCCTTAGGTTCTAAACACAAAAAAAAGGAGAATAAATAAAATATGTAGATAAAAAATATAAAAAGGAGAGAAAAAGCTGTATCTAAACCCACACCATATTTCTCAACTAAAAACAAGTCTTTTCCGTAAAACCAAGTATAATAGAGTAGAGAAAGGCTTAGTGTGTATATAATATAAATCTTGTAACTGGTCTAAAAAAAAGTAGAATAAAAATGTTATACCCATTATAAGTGACTTACCTAATGTAAATAGTAAAAGTAATGCCTACGAAACTAAACTCCCTGGAGTATATAAAAGGAATATTTACAATATTACTAAATACCACAGAATTTGGAATCAAAATTTCAATATGAAAAGAAATTCAATAGTGTGCATTGATTGATTAGCACGATTGGTCTGAAGGGTTTGGTTTAAATTAATACGTGTGAAAAACAGACAGAAATCTATAAATAACCAGAAGCATTTCATTTGTATAGATTTTAAATCAGGCACATACTCTATGTCTGACCTAGGCAAGATGCTACCTATGACCCCTTCTCCAATATTCTGATCTTTGTTGTTAATAATTATTTTATTTCAAGACTTTATTTTCATTTGGAATATATAAAGTTGTGTCAGTGATCAGGCCAATTTGGACATTGGACCATGGAACCATGTAAATAGTCCATCAATGATAGGGCCAGTTTGACTATGGCATGGTCCAATTTTAAATTAGTTTGATCGTTGTCATACCAATTTAACATTGGACCATGTGTCTTAGCCACAAGCACTACACTAACCACTCCTAAATGTAATGATGAATGGCCAGGCTGATTGAACTTGGCAGTCCATTGAACCATGTAAAGGTCAATGATTGGCCATGCAATCTTTAGTACCATGGAGCTATATAATTTATAGCTCCATGATTGTACCTTATGTAGATGTCAGTCAGTGGTCAGGCCATATTGGGAGTTTATTGAACCATATTTCAGTGATTTACCATTGGATCTGTTGTACCATAGAGCTATAATTTATAGCCTCATGATTGTAAATATGTAGATGTCAATGACCAAGCCAAGTTGGCAGTCCATTGAACCATGGAGGAAATAAAACAACTTGTTTTATTTCCTCCATGATTGAACCGTGTAAATTTCGGTCAACGTCTAGGCAAATTTATTTGGCAGTTGAATGTCAATAATCATTTTGTCATGCAATTGAATTTGTGACCCTATCAAAAGTAGATTAGAATTGATTTCTGTATGTTGGAATATTGCAGAAACTTGTAATTGATTTTTCTGTGATATGTGTTTACAGGACTCCCTTAGAATACTCCTATTATAGACCACCTTTCTGATGTCCCAAATGAATGTCTCCTTTTATTTTTATAAGAATAATTCTTCTAATTAAAGACCAAAGTTGCTAAAGCCCATAAACACCCTTGTCCATCTTTAATTGGAGGGAGACCTGTATGCTATTTTGGATATATAGGGCTAAGGAGTGAAAAGGGACACAGGGAAGAGGGCTAAACTATTCCATGCAGTGTAAAAAATAGATAAATTCCAAACATAAGTTTTTACTTGCATATTGCCTAGCGTATTATATCAGATTCACAAACTAAATTATTTTCCTCCTTGTGCTTTTTTGGCTGGGGTTTAAATTTCTTTACCCAGCTTGTAGTAAGGCATTACAGCGATTATTTAAAAAAAAAATTTGAATATTTTGTTGAGAGTTTTAAAATATTATAAAAATAGAACTTTGTATTTGAATTGGATGCATAATTGAGTTGCCATGGTTTCAAAATCATAACAACAAACCATTAGTAATTTGTTTGAATAAAACATAACAATTATATTGACGACAGAGGCTGGTGTTTTAAAGATCCACTTGTTCTAATTAAATTTATTAGGAATTCAAATTTTAGCTTTGTTCTGTACAATATTGTAGATTAAAAATAGATGAAAGGTTTTGAGGGTTTGACCATGAACAACTTGCATTCCCAAAATTGAATACTTCTTAATGCATCAAAATACTATGCCTACTGTATATTGACAATAATGCAGAATATTATTAGGTTTTATATTATTTCTTTTATGTGCAACAGCAATCCCAGACATCCCCATTTTATGGATCCCATTGAAAGCTTTTTATCAGCATTCCTCATAAATTTGTTTCAGGCATGTAGCTCACTATCCTCTTGTACATCGCAGATCTCAATCTACAGCCTATTTGGACTTCCACTTTAACAACTCATTCATCTATGTAAGGATTGTGGGGCACTAAATTTATTTTTCGCATATAGGGTGGATCCTACCAACAAATTTTGGTGACCCATTAGTGGTTTTCAACCCAGATCTTAAGAAGAGCTGCTTTGTATATGTAAGGCTACATTCAGACCTGAGAGATATGCCAGGCATATTGCCGGGTGTACATTGATCCAAGCCGTAACTAGTGAGATGTCCAGACTCTAGCATAATCTAGCGCGAAATATATAAATTTGTAATCATGCATTTTATTTCCTGTTATATCTAGGCTTATTGTGATTGGTCAAATCCTGACTGGGAGTCAAAATCCTTGGTGCATGACTGTCGTAACTCATTGCAGGGGCGTACGGTGAAAAATCTAAGGGAGGGTCGAAAACGAAATGCAGGGGGAAAGCTGAACTCGGAGCAATTTAGCAAAGCTTTCAGAATTCGCGGTTTGCGTTATTTGTGAGTGAAGCGAGCATATTTAAAGGGAACTTTCTTTAAAAGGGGGTTCGACAAGTTCATGCCATTGATTGATAGTACGCTGCCATAACTCGTGTCTGAACATAGCCTGTCACATTTGAAGGCTTACAGTTTGGTGATATTTTTAGTTATGAATTTATAGGAATATTGTATTTATTTATTTATTTTATTTATTTATTTATTTATTTATAGGAATACTGTATTTGTTTCAGTTTTTATATAATTCTCTCTTGTCATGTCACATAAAAGTTTATAACAAAACATAAAATAAAAAAATATGTTTGATATTTATCTTCTATGGATAATTTGGCAATTAAATTTTTAATTATTTATGTTTTAAAAATTGTTCTTACCTCCTCCTGTTTTTCTGTGCAAATATATCCATTGTTCTGTTTATTGCAAATTGTAAGATCACCAGATGTACAGGGATTACTATCACAAGGGTTTACCTCAGACTCACAAGTATTGCCTATTATTGAGTAGAACAATTGTGAAAATATCCAGTAATTACTTAAATTATTTTTAAAAATTGACATAAATACACATACATTATATTTTGTCTCAGAAACACATTTAAATATTAAGTAAGATAAAAAGTTAAGTATTTAGAATTTAGAATTTAAATAAAAGACCACACCACCAGGTACAGTAATTTTTAAAATTCTGTGGGCACAACAGTTTTAGAATAGATAAGTGAGTTAGCACATAACATTGATTTGCATTGAAATTTTTAGAATTTAGTGGCACTGGATCAGCGCCTGACACCTCCATACAGACATCCAGACATATTCCTATAAAGACAACCTCATTTGGAGTACTGTAGACACCTCTTGATAGACATACCCCTTCACATATGTCCTTTTGTAGACATACCTCTAAAAGGTCTGGTCTCTGTGCAGGAAATTTTGAGACCACGTTGTTTAACGGTTATCACCATTGGAATGCCACCATTGGTCCTGTGTATTTGTCTAAACATGGCTTAGATAACCCTCACATTCCCTCTTTTAAATTTATTTGTAATAAACAGATCCTCACCTGTATATGCATTTGTACATTGACATGAGTATCCGTTGTTGGTTTCCTGACAAGTTCCATCATTTATACATGGATTTGTTGCACAGATGGACATGCTGGTCGCAGCACTGGCAAGAGTTGTTGCTTTCAAAATGGGAGTTGTTAACGGAACAGCTGAATGTTAAAAAATTATAGGAGACAAGGATGATATATATGATTAATGTATTCTTAACCACTATATATAAGCTCTGTCCACACTATCAAAAACTATTGTATGCCCATATATGGTCATGATGTGCCTATATATGGTCATGATGTGATGTCATCATGACCATATTTAGGCATGTCACATGTTTTTGATAGTCTGGACAGGAGTGGAAATTGGTGTGGCAGATTTTGAACCAAGGAATATGTATGTATCCAAAAGTTTGCTTTCTTAATGCAATACCACCAAGCTTGTCCATATAAAAAAAAAACTAAAACATTGACATAATTTGTTTTTTTCTTGTTATGGCATGATTATCTCCAATTACCCACCTTGTTGTCAATAACCTTTTATGCTTTCATGTGATAAATGCTGACTGGAGTAGTAAACCACTTCAGAAATAAAGTCGAGAAAATGAATCAATAAAGTTGCAAAAGCTCCGGTTAAGGAAAATAATGTTTTAATTGTTACGGGCATTTTCTTCTTGTTGTACTTATATTCATGATTTATGGTGTTCATACTTTTAATCTTTCCTCTCCATGCCTTTGGAACAAGCTCATCCCCTATATCTTAGGTAAATACACCACATTAGCTTCTCATACGGTTTGTAATTGGCACAGTATAACCACTACAGTATTATTTGATTATAGGCTATCTAAGATACTGGTGTATGAATATAAAGCATGTTTTTTTGTAAAATTCTATTTTTAGATTAAATTAACATATGAATTTACCACAGTTGGGATAATCCTAGTACTTAAAACCCTTTCCAGGCCCATAGCCAGGAAAAGGGTAAAAGTAATAATAATAATAATGATAATGATAATGATGATAATAATAATAATGATAATAATAATAATGATAATAACCATAATGTTAATGATAATAACTATTTAGGCATGTCACATGTTTTTGATAGTCTGGACAGGAGTGGCGATTGGTGTGGCAGATTTTGAACCAAGGAATATGTATGTATCCAAAAGTTTGCTTTCTTAATGCAATACCACCAAGCTTGTCCATATAAAAAAAAAACTAAAACATTGACATAATTTGTTTTTTTCTTGTTATGGCATGATTATCTCCAATTACCCACCTTGTTGTCAATAACCTTTTATGCTTTCATGTGATAAATGCTGACTGGAGTAGTAAACCACTTCAGAAATAAAGTCGAGAAAATGAATCAATAAAGTTGCAAAAGCTCCGGTTAAGGAAAATAATGTTTTAATTGTTACGGGCATTTTCTTCTTGTTGTACTTATATTCATGATTTATGGTGTTCATACTTTTAATCTTTCCTCTCCATGCCTTTGGAACAAGCTCATCCCCTATATCTTAGGTAAATACACCACATTAGCTTCTCATACGGTTTGTAATTGGCACAGTATAACCACTACAGTATTATTTGATTATAGGCTATCTAAGATACTGGTGTATTAATATAAAGCATGTTTTATTGTAAAATTCTATTTTTAGATTAAGTTAACATATGAATTTACCACAGTTGGGATAATCCTAGTACTTAAAACCCTTTCCAGGCCCATAGCCAGGAAAAGGTTAAAAGTAATAATAATAATAATAATAATAATAACAATAATAAATAATAATAATAATAATAATAATAATAATAATGATAAGGCAATTTACTGTTGAAAAAATCATAATCCGATCAAGACATATTACCCAGTTCAATATTTCTTACCTTCTTGGCTATACACAGTTCCAATGTTTATCAGGTGATATACATAAAATATTAGGTTTGAAAAGTTCCAGCGCATGTGCCCCATTTTTGCAGCCAACAAGAAAGTTAATGAAGGCCTAATAAGTCTCACAACAGATTTAAAGTTCTTGTAGATCAAATCATTTTACGAATGGATTCAGTCGTCCATATGCTGAGTAACTGATGCATTCATATCAAATGTGAATTAGTCTTTGGGCTTGACTAACCGTTAACCTAGCTAAACAAAATGTTTTGTTGCGCTTCGCTAAGCATTGTCATAAAGATGATGGTAGGATAGAATGGTGAGATTCAAAAGTACTTCTTATTGTCGAGTGATTACGTTGGAATTTGTGTGCACGAGTGAACAACAGAGGTATTGATATACAAATGAATATACGGACTCCTCCATTATTTTTTACAGGTGTGTGGACAGGACTATTTTGTAGAATGTTAGAATTAGTACTGCACTGAATATAACATGATTATGCAGAGAAGTATTGACAAATACCTCTTACTGTATTTGTCAGTCTACTAAACTACAGTGTTGCTGGTAGTAGACATTACGTATTCCTGATATGGAATACAGTAGTATACAGTGTAGGCCCGTAACCAAGATGAAGGGGTCAGGATGTGAAGCCCCTGGGGCTGAAGCATTTTTGCATGTCAATGGTATTTGATGTTCAGATAGAACATTAAATGTATTGATCTCTATAATTGTTTCTTGGTCTGAAGTATTTGGGTTTTTATATTCTTGTCCTTTTCAGTTTAGTCACTAGAATATTTTTCTGATGTTCCTATATATTTTACATTTTTATATGTTTCTATTTTCATGTCTAGTTTATATTGCTGCTTTTTGAAATGTTCCTATTTCAACTTGTAATTTACATGCAATTTGGCCTCCAGGCCTTGATATGTGGAATTGTTTTAATAAAATTGGATTGAATTGAATAGATACAAAAGCAAAATACTGACAAAAAATTGCTATTGCTATAAGAAATGATGCCATGATCTTAGCTGAGATATACAATTGATAACCAAACACGAATATTTAATGCCAGATAAAAAGTCAGAAAATAAACCGTAAGTGCTGGAAAATATTAGTCCTTTCTTAGTGAATATAAGTATGTCTACTTGTACAGGATAAATCAAAGTATTCCTCACAGGATTAAATCTAAGTATTTGAAAAACCAAACTTGTATATTTATGAATAAAAGATAAGAGTACAGTGTACTGTAGATCCTTGACACTTAGTAGAGCTTTGTGATTGGTGACCCTCCAAATTACAATATGAATTGATTACTACTTGTTCTTATTTTCTCTGCAAGGATTGTTGCATCAAAATGTATGTAAATTAGCAATCAGTAATCTGTATATTATTCAAAGTTAAAACTTATTTGGTCATTTTATTGAGCTATTCAAAATTGATTTTTTTAGTTTTCATTTTATGTGCTTTTATGTATGATTGTATTCTTAAGTTGTTAAAAATCTTTCTTATTTCTGGATACCCAGTAAATGTGAGGACATTGTTCTTCCTTGGGGTCCAGATAACAAACACTTAAAATGAAATGCACATAAAAATTATATGAAGAATTACAAGAATCAAATTTAAATTAGGTCTTTGAAAGATTTTAAAGTAAGTGAATGTAAGTGAATAAAAATAATAAATTCCATAGCTGTTAAGACAAAATTTTAAGTGAGTATTATTATACAAATAGTATACCGGTATATTAAATAATTTGTTTGGAAATGAGAAAACTGATGGACAGTTTTGTTAGTGTTGCATAAACCTGACTTGAGAAAACAAATTCCCACCTGATTTCATCAGTGTGCTAATACAGGCAGCAGAATCTCTTTTCATTTGGTCTGAAGGAGCTTTAATACATACTTAATTACCTGTATAAAATTGCTGGTAACCAAAATCAAATTCCTCATTTACGAGGTATATATTTTATTACCTTTTTGTAATACTAATAGAATCCTTCCATTTATGTACAACTCTATTAAATTGTGTGTTTATGACAATGTATGTATTCTTTTATTTATTTGCATATAACTTACGTTGACAGCTGTTTGCTGTTCCCTTCGGCAGTGGCAAAAATGATCCAGGTTGCCACGGTATCAGATCATAATCGGGTTTACAGAGCTCGCAGCTACGTCCCTCGGTGTTATGATGACAGTTGCAGGACAGCATGTCTGCGATGACGGTACAATAGCTGCCATGCAGGTTGCAGTTGCAACTAAAACGATAATAAAATAATTAAAATGGTCTATAGACTAGTCAAACACTCCCCTTCCCCGCACTTATGCCTAATTTTGCATACAAGCCTTTCATTGGGCAAAAGCCCAGTGTATAATTTGAATGAGTAGCTTAAGGTACATTTTACATATACAGTACTATAAAAAAAATATAAAATAGTGGCTTTGAATTGAGCATGCATGCAAATTGCCTTTTGATTGAAATAAGAATTCCCCAGGTGTAAGCCCATCCCAAAAATTATCCCAATTTTGTGTTTAATGGGGGTGGGCTTATACCAAGTGAACTGTGGTATGTGTATGCATATGTCAGTTGGTATCATTCATAAACAAAGAAAGGCAAAATTAGGAGACATAAAAGAAAGGACAACGAAAGGAAAGATAAGGAAACTTTGGAAGGGAAAAGGAAATAAAGACAAACATAAAAAAGAAAAAGAAAATAAATGATAAGACAATTATAAGGATGGAATAGGAAAGGAAAGATAAGAAACTATAAGTAAGGGAAAGAAATGAAAGTTTTTGAAACACACAGTGAAATAGGAAGGAAATAGAAACAAAAGAAGAAAAATATGAAATGCTTTGAGATGGAAAGGAAAGTAAAAGGCTATGAAATGATAAGAAAGTAACACGCTATTAAAGGATCTCTAAGAATTGGCTGTGTGGGACGAGTTGTATAAATCGTTACAATTACCAAACTATTGTAATAATTATTAACCACTATTCTAATTGTTAAACTAAATTAAAACCCAAAAATATTTGATAAATAATTTATAACGGTACATTTGTTTTTTTTTTTCTTTTTTTTGTTAAGCACCTTGAGGTTGTGAAAATGTGAGGGCGCTTCATAAATCAAGAATTATTATTATTATTATTATTATTATTATTATTATTATTATTATTATTATTATTATTATTATTACACTTGAATCCCCCTAAATCCGCCCCTGTAATCAGTTTCTCGTTTGTGGTTATGAATTATTTTGATGTTTAATTACCTGTGTAAGTTTGTCATTGTTTGTGTTGAAATACGTAAAGGAGCCTGAGGCATAAGTAGCATCAGGTAATTGAAACTCAATTTGAGTGAGAAATTAATAACAGTGTTTTAGTGCCAAAGAAATTTAATTTGTGTGAATACCTCAATGAAGTTTGAATGTTAGAGATTGCCAAGTAAGCCATATATAGCATTGATGCACTATTTCCTCGATCATAACTTGTTTCATTTTGGAAAGTTGGCCTCAACATCCTTATTCTTAGATCTGTAAGGTTCAGAAATTGCCTCAATGCAATGTCTCTTTCGAGCCCTTCGTATAGCTCATTAGGATCTGACAGCCCCGGTGAAAGAAGTTCCAAACGAGGCTTGACTAAGAAATAAATATGATTAACATCTTCATCGACTTGCTCATTAAATGGGTTAACGCATATCACGTCTGTTGTAAATTTCACGTCAGAACTATGATAACTTTCATTTAATGCAAAGTCTTTTGAGCAGTTTGTTGAGTAATATTGCAGTGTATCCCAGGTTTCTCCATAATTGCTTGATTTTTCAAGAGTCATTGCGTCGGGAAGCTCAGAAAGAAATGTCACAATAAGGTCATCTTCCATACTATGGTCCTTACCAAAAGCTATGGTGACAATAATCTCTGGTATACTTGATGAGCTAAACCATACCTTAGTTGACCATGTTGTGTACTCTGTTGGAACCTCATAGTCAATCATCAATGCTGGTACAGTATTGTTTGATGTATAATTAAACTGGAATAAAAATGTTTTATGATTATTGTATTACATGGTACAGAGTTACTTAAGAGAGCAAGAACTACACCTAGTTTGATGGCAAAAATAAGAAAGACACAACTCAAATTTGGTCATCTTATAAGAAAAGAAACCCTTGAACATTAAATACAGGAAAGAGTAGTAGATGTAGACCTACAGTAAGTCAAATTTCATGAAGAGTATGGTCGAGCTGTTGAACATCAGAAAGTGGGAGATTTTGCAGCGGCAAGAGACATAGAATTGTAGAAAGTCATGAGCACCAACGTCCTATGACTTGGTACATGATGATGATGATACATTTTCTTTATGGAAATGTATATAAAGACTTAAGATATAGAAAATAAACGGGTTAAGCTTTGTGGAGAGAACTGAAAGAAGCTTTGGTAAAAGAGATGCACAGGAGAATGCTATTAGTACTGTATACTATATGCTGTATACTGCAGGAATGTCACTAAGCCTAACCCTGCAAATCACCAGTAATATCACAAAATATTATTGTAATTGTGCTAAAAACGAGGATTGTTGTCACGCTCTATCGAGCATAAATTTAACAGCCTGTCATGATTGGACACTATACACACTCTCAATTGCCTATTGATTTTGAAAGTTCTTAGTAATTATCCTTATTGTGAAACCATTGATTGCATGAAAATACTTGACACATGTTCATTAAATGTTTGTACAGTATGTTATTGAAAGAAGTTTAGCGATTATGATGCCATTTAAACATTTGTACTCACCGTCTTTTCATTTGTTTTTTTTTTATCATAATTATTATAGTTATTTAATTATTCTTTTTGTGCTTTTAGAAAGTGCCTTGAGAGAGATGATTCTTTTTGATTGTGGAGTGCATTAATAAATAACATAATTTATTGTATTATGATTCGATTATAATTTGTCTTATCTTGTTAGACATATCTATACTACATACGGTATACAGTTTTTTAGTCTCTATTGCTATTTCTTAGATTATTGGATACAGGATTAAACTCAATGAGGAACCACTTCTTCTTGAGGAGTAGTCGTAAAGCTAACACATCCTATCAAGCACTGATTTATAACATAAAGTTTGGTTTCCATACGAACGCTGCACGCTTTCACCGACAGCATTCGGTGATGCTGATTGGTTGGTCGAATTGGGGAGACTTTCCGATTGTGTCGGGGACTGCTACATAGTACAACGATTGCAATAAAAACCCTGTAGCGATAGTGTAGCGATTTTAAGAAAACCAGGTGAGACAAACATAGATAAATTGTCTTGTTCAAAGATTCAAAATATGCTGCAAACCAATGACTATTTGGTTTGAAGCTCCTCATGTTTATACGGCCAAATTTACCTTACAATCTAATTCATTACACGTCACATTTGATGGAAGAACTGAGATTGTTGTCGTTGGGATTTGATAAATTTGGACAGTTTGTGGCTGACATGCGCCATCGTCACACCCTGATGGAGTAACGGACGATAATCGGAATAGCAACAGAAAGAGATGAGGCAAGGCTTCTCTGCTGGATATGACACCATGCATTTTTCAGATGATACATTTATCCTCTGTTAATGATAAAGAAATGTACACAATTCATAATAATATACTTTTATCATTTAAAATGTTATACTTATATAAAGAATATACATTAAATATATTGGATTTTCGTAGGCTTTGTCCACAATATCAAATTTTTATGGGACATACAACTATGTGCCCATATTTGGATGTAATATGACATCATCATGCCCATATATGGGCACATCACACAAATTGATGGCGTGGACGGCGCCTTATTGGGAATCACATTCATTAGGTATGTAGTCCTACTGTATCTTTTTGGAGTATGCTTTCTCTCCACAATTTCTTGGGGTGTAAAGAAGAATTTAGAATTAGCACAGTTTAGTGCATACAATAAAGGAGTAAAGTCAGTTTATCCTTCATCAGCCTAATCTGAAATTACAGCTTAAGTATACAGTACATTATTACCATAATATGCACATACTGCATGCTATTACTACACCACATTTCCACAATAGCCTGCAGTCCATCTGTTAAGCAGTCTTGTCTCCTAAGCAACCAATACTATTTTTATCAACTTTTATGTTGAGATTATTTTATACTCACATTGACACCAGTTGTACTTGTTGATCAGTGAAATTCTTGTGTTGTAAAGTCCATCACTATTACCTGTAGTCATTTTCTGATTTACTGTTTGTTCACGTTTATTAATAAAGTGAGGTTGTTATCTCGGCATGCATCTCTTGCTTTGTGTACTTTCATCATCAATAGTAATGCACCATCTGGTGTTATTTGATTCAAATTGAAAAAAAGGAGAATAGTGTGGTTGCTGATCAAATATTGTAACATGACAAAAGAGAATGAGAGAACAAAAGTATTTGATTGGCTTGTAGCATGTGTCAGCATATATCTTTCTTTGATTTGGTAGATGTACCAAAGATGATGATAATTACCTTAAACATACTGTATCGTCAGTGTCAATCAGAACATGACTGCTTAAGAAAATCAAATACATTCAGGGGGGGGGGGGCGGGCCAGGAATTCCGCGGTGAGTGGTCCAAGCTCCCTCCCGTCTATCCCTCTCTGTCAGGGAAGCCTAGCCTCTGTCCCCCCCCCCCCCCCCCCGGTGGGGAAAAATTTAATTTCTTGAGGAATTTTTTTTATTAAAAGATATTAAAATTTTGTGTTAAATGGGATTCTTTATTTAAAAAGGATGTTGGGGTACTAGTCCCCTTATCGAGGTATTGACCCCCTGTCTGAGGTACCAGCCTGCTGTCGGGGAAAGTCTGGCGCACCACTGCAACCCATACGATCGCAATAATATACAACACCTCGCACATATGGTAGCAGTGCTTGCACTAAACAGTTTTAATCCCTAAAAACTTATATACAGTAGTAAGGCATGCTTGAATTGTACTTTCGGCGCTCGAGATTTGATTTTTCCCCGATGACATTGCAGGAAATTCCTCTATAGGGGGTCCTTCGCCTCTTGGACCCGCCACTAGCGCCATCCCTGATGCATTATGGGTAATGTACTTCCTGATAAAAGTGGGAGATGGTAGGTTATAACATTCAGATCTTTTGATTGCACAGCGATGGTACAGTCTACTGTACATCACATAAATTCATCTGCGAATGCTACAATATTGAGTTCTCATCGTCTGAATTCTAGGATGCAGTTTTGGTCCGAATCTATATTGTGAAGAGAATGAGTGATTTTATTCTAGATTCTTGTTGTCGCACAAATCAAAAGCTCCTTTAAACGTAAAGTAAAAAGAGGCAACAAATGATTGTCTTTCAAATAAAGAATTAACTGCAGTGAACTTTAACCTCAATAACTTCTGTCCAATCATTACCTGCAAAATTTGTGTTTCAAAATCAGTTTTTCAGATCCTGATGGTATAAGGCAAAAACCAATTAAAAATTCTAATGTTTCTTTACCATATATAACAATACAGTAGCAAATTCATACTGATATAAACTACTTCCAAAGAAAATAAACATGACAACTCGATTGAGACAACTTGGTAACCCAATTTATTCCATTTAACATGCGCTGACATATGTTCCCGTAACATTCAGTAATGAGATGTTGGCATGGTGTAATAAATTCAATTAAAAACTATTTCATCACATGTTTGTTAAAGAGATGAAGTGAATTATATATGAATCTCCTCCCTTTGAAGATTATTTTGAAGAAAAAAAACAACAGTCGATTACAAATTAGAAGTTCTTTTGAAATATAAACACATGAATTTATTTCATTAATTGTACACAAACGTGCCATGGTAATTACTCTAAATCTGTCATAACACTATGTGACAGATGCCTGTGATTTAATAATAATAATACGATGTTAAACTTTTTGCCAACACGGCCTCTAACCGCTTCACGTAACTACCCCTGGTCATTAGATCAAGCACATATGGAACACATACTCAGTTGTTCAGCTGTAACTGACACTCCTGGGTGGAGAGAGACAACCGTAGGTAAAGGCCTAAGGACACCTAAGCAAAATGCACAGCGAGGATTTGAACCTGCAACCTCAAAGGTTGAGAAACAGAACCGCAAATGCTGTGCCAAAGCAGTCCTATACTATTGGCCACATGTACTGTAGTTTATAACGGTGTCATAGGACATCATCATGACCAACTTCAGGGGCGGATCCAGAGATGTCCAAAAGTGGGGGCCGATCGAGACAACAATGTTCTAGGGGGTCCGGGGGAATGCCCCAGTGAAATTTGAGGTGTTGTGGGCTACCATTTTTTTCTTTTTCTTTCTTTTTTTCCTTTTTTTAGGCCCCCCCCCCCACTAAATCCACCCCTGAACTTTAAGCTTTATTAAAGTTTTGAAGGCTTTTCATAATATCTAAACAATGATCAAACTCTGAAATATGAAAATTTGGGTTCTAGGTGCCTGCATCTATTTTAAATAGTGAAACTAGTAGACCAGCTTCAGAATAGAGGTCACATGATTGTTGGCATCAGGAGCTGACGAGATTTCACAAGCAATCGTTTTCAGTGAGTCTGCTTAGAGCGCCACCAACAGTCAGCAACTGGTGTTGCATCGGGCAACTGCTCACACAGTGCATGAACTTGTTGCCTGACTGTTGGCGGACACGGTGTGGGCCAGTCTTTAGTTGTTTATTAATAATAAATTAATTTTTTTTTTTAATGAAAAAAATGTCCTAGATTTACAATACACTCTCAGCAATTACTAATAGTATTATTTAATAGTAATCAGACAGTATGACAATAATATAAATATTTATATAGTAGAGCACCTTTTGCTAAAGGACGCAAAGCACTAAATTATAATGGGCAACTTCTATCCTTGGGATAATACCAGTCGCGCTGCAATAATCATACACACTTAACAAACATACTGTGCCACCGTTGGCCTACCAAGGAGCACATTAACACCTTTCAGTAAATGTAAAGCAATAATATATTTATTGATTTTAGAATTCTTAATTTAAAACCAAGTAAAAGTATGTGTACAACACGTACATATACGTAAAAGTATGCATACAGTAGGTACTATGTACCTACAAAAACCTAATGAAATTGTTTGAAGAAATAATATATTTGGCAAGAATTCTCAAACAAATACTGTAATTATCATAAGGGGAAATCTCATATTCAATAAATCACAATTGATTTATACCTTAAAGCCCCCCATTCTCCCAAAAAGTTGTATGGTACTTATGAACATGAAAATTGTTTATACATTTAAACTTTCCTAATTCGAATTATTTTATAAGTCGATCTTGCTTTACTATTCACAATACTATGATAAAAACATCAATATAATATATTTCTGGCATGCTTATATTTTCATTCTTCAAAATTTTTGTCTGATCCTCCATTTTTTTATCTGACCTAAATTTTCCAATGATTGTCTGTCCTCCCTCCATTTTTTACCTGACCCTAAATCTTCCAATGATTGTCTGTCCTCCCTCCATTTTTCTATCTGACCCTAACTCGAAGTGAATCAAGCAATGGCTCTATCATGACATCTCCCCTATCCCCCATGCAGCTGCTTATCACCTTGGTTATCCTCTCCCCTGGTATCTTTAAGTTGTAAATCAAGTTGTAATTATTCACTAATCGCACCATTTCTTCCCTCGGCAAGTAACCTGGAAAAAACCCCAAATCAATCAATCAATCAATCAACTAATCAGAAATATCAAAATAATCATATAAATATTTGAAAAAGACGTATGCTCAAAATAGTCTGAAGAATGTTTAATTTGATGAAATGTACAATTTTATTGTGTTAATTTGAAGGTTGAAAATTTTAGGTAAATCAAATGCAACAATTTTCTGATTTACATAATATATTTTATACTTTGTATTTTAATATGCCATGCAAGTCCAAATATATCCCCTACAGGCACTTAAAAACAAGCTGGTAGTAAGTGTGGCTGAACTTGCCTTTACCATCATCATCATATTTATAATAATAATCATCATCATTTTATTCACTTTCATTTATGTAATGACCGCAGTGGAAGATTCGGGTGGGTGGGACAACTTGGGACCCCTTAAGAGTGCCATTTCCGGCAATCTAGACGTGCCATAATCATAAATTTTCTTACCTCAGCCCCAACCATGGTGGGGATGAGGCGGTATAGACTCACTACCTGTTAAAGCCCCTCCCTGGGCCCCTTATTTTTCAAATTACTGCATCTGCCACTGGACCATTATGTGTTCTTTAGTCTTACCTGTGTTTGTACTATCACTGCTATACAATCCCTGGGCCAAGTGCATGAACCTTGAGAACCATGGCTCAACCTCCTCATCCTCTGCACCGGTATCAAGCTTCTCCTTACGCTGAGCTCTTGCCGCATGTTGCTTAGCAAGAGTGTTCAATTGTTTGCGTTGTTGCGCATCCTCAATCTCTTCACTTTGAGTAGGTGACGGGGTGTCGTCCCTGGTTACATCTCGCTCTACACTGGTTGGGGAACATTTCCTCATTACTGGCTGTAAACACAATAAAAAATTGATTATTTTCTTTCATCTTCATTTAATTATTTATTTATTTATGAGCTAAGGGACAATGTATCTGTTATATGTCGACACTGGCGCTGCACTGTGGGTGCCACGAGTCCACAGGGTGGAATTTTACAAAAAAAAAGAAAATGTTTACAATGATTACATACAATTTTATATCGTCACAATGACACTATCATTAATAAAAAGTGGCTTAGAAGCTATAGTTTAAAATGTGAGCATTTTATTCCACCCAATCAAAAACCTGCTTCCTATCTCCTTCCCACGTTCAAATCCTGTGCTCAGATAAATGGGGACATTTTTTGTGTTCATTTATTGTTGGGTGTTAGTTTTACAGACCAAGGCCACACCACTTACCCCAAGAGGCTTTCTGGTTTCCCAAGGTGGTCGAGATGGTTCAGCTACTTCTGAAGTTTCCTTATGCCTTGGAGATGTAGGCCATGTCCCCGGACGATCTGATTCTTTGCTGCTCTTCATCGCTGACTCGGAAGGGTCTTGAGATGAGTTTAATGACTGCACCTTGCTTAGAAATTCAATGAAGGCTACCCAACTATTATTAAAGGAGAAAAAATCAATATCAAATCAGTGGTTAAATCTAAAATGAAAGCAAAAACTGTTACATACAGTGACATCATTTATGAAATTCTTCTCGGGAATTTTGGTTCATCTCCCAGGCTCCAGGAAACTCCACATTTTCTCCAGCATTATAACCAATTGACTCAACTACGGCTTAGGCTAAGCTAAATTTTCCCATTCTTAATGCAGACAATAAGGCAGACATAAGATTTATCAAACATTCTGGGCAACAATAACATATTAACAGTAACCCAAACCTTGTACACATGTTTTTAGCTAGTACATGCAACTAGTAAGCCACTGTCAGACCTGCACACCAGATTCTCCAGGATCTTCACTTCCACAACTTGGGACCCCTGAATTAGATTGATTGATTGATTGATTGATTGATTGATTTACCTTAACCTCGATTCACCTGTATCACATCTCATTATGATCTTGTCCAACAGTGAGCCTTGGAATGGCAGACGATGTTTGAGGCAAACTTCCTGGAACTAAACATATACATATTTTGGTTGATTATAAACATAATAACATTATGGAGTCTACCAAAATAAATAAATGAAGTTAGTCTATAAAGTGCTACCAGCAGGGGTGGATCCAGGAGCGGGATACGTTTTGCCACTAAATTTTAAAATTTCAAGGCATATATTGAAATTAGCACTCTCGCTTATCTATTCTGAATGTGTTGTGCCCCCCTTCCCCATTTGAAAAATTCTGGATCTGCCCCTGACCAGTGTCAGGGACATAAGATGCCATAATAATAATAATGAAATAATAAAAATCCCAAATATTAATGAGCTAATCAAAATTGGAAGTGTATGTTTTTGGTTTATAAGTGACAGCTGGTGCAAATGTTCTCTTAACTGAACACCAATCAAAAATAACAGAGCTTAGGGTCCTCCCAGCTGTCATCACTTTACACAACAGGATGGGTGGACGGTGGATTTGTGCTCATCAGAGCGGGGAGACCACACTAAACCATAGGGCGCTTAACCTGAATTGCTGTTGTCAACGGCTCGTCCTCTTGCGTGCCTATCATGTCCCTACAACTTTCATACTCTCTTCTTCTAAAACCTGTGGTTATTTTATAGTGTATTTTTAATTTTGGTTAATGCATTTATATGACTGGAGAGTCTATAATACAGGTTACAAGGACTTCAGAACACTGTATTGAATGCAATAGTTGGGCTAAAACAATAGGTACTGTACCTGTTTCTGTGAAATGGTTCCATCTCTGGTTTTGTCGAGGTCTGACATACTCTCCCTGATCTCTTCCATGTTCATGCTCTCCTCTTTTCCTTGAATAACTTGTTGCTCAATTAACATGAGTAACATTGCATCATCACGCTCGGAAAATACCTTCAGTGGTTTTCTATTTAAAAATCAATTTGTGTATGTATTGTATGTTATACAGTTAGTAATACTGATGATTATGATAATAATCCTCATCACAATCATAATAATAATCATGATTATCATCATCATTATTATCAATTGTTATTACTGTATTATTATTTATTTTACAAAGAAAGACAGGGACAATAATAAAAAAAATTATTTCAAGTGAAAAAGGGTTTGTTAATTTGGTACAATTATGATATATTTGAACCGATTTTATTTAATTATTATCTAATTTCATTCCTTAATACGAATAAGTAACTAAAAGAATAAAAATAATCAATTCATTTTTTTTTTATATTTAACTTACTTGATAGTTTTCAGTGGTTGTATTTCAGATTTTCCATGAGAATCGCGCCTTTTTTTCCTGAAACCAATGGACATCTCTTTAAAACGTTCTAGAATTTGCAGAATTTACACTACTGAATCTAGTTTACCAGCACAATTTCTTTAAAACATGAGTTAATATAATTTATATGTTCAATGTTTGGAATAAAGATTATTATTTTGCAAACCCAACTTAAATGTCAATCAATCAAATATTAATAATAATATTAATTCTTTATTGGTCCTCTTTCAATTGGAAATCAGAAATCATTCTTAAACTGTCAGTCAACATTATCTATTAATTATCATCACTAAATTATCAATCATCATCAGTTAATTATCTATCATAATTAACATCTTCTCTTAATTGTCAACCTTCATTTCTTAATTATTTATCATCATCATCCTCCCATAATTGTCAATCATCACTGTCACTGTCATCATCCCTTAATTGCCAATTATTTTCCTGCAATCACACTGATATATGAACCCTTACTTTCTTTGAACCTGTTGGTTGTCTCCATGGTTACCATAACTCTCCTTCACTGGATTCGGCTTTTGATTGGTATTGCCAGCCATTGGACTTGACTGTTGATTGACTTTGTGAGTATCATGTGATCTCTGTTGAGTTTTAATGAGCTTTGCTTCAAACTCTGCAATCTTCTCATCTAGTGAAACTTGTTCATCAGGACTATCCAGTGTTCTTATTTCTTTAATGAATCTTGATTTAAAGATAACAGAAATAATAATTTTTTTCGTTACCATATTTATTCATAAAGGTTGACCCTTCCAGCATATCCTAGATGCTAGGAAGGAAGGCAAGGATCTTAACCACTAAGCTATTCAACTCCACTCAAATGATTTAAAGAATCTTGCATAATTAGCATTCTAGTATTTACAATGAGTTATACTTGCCTATTAACAGACTCATGCAGCATGGTCTCAGCCTTAGGTGAGCCCACCTGAGCCCTGGCTAGATACTGTAGTAACTTCTCGTAGTTGACCACATCAGGGTTACTGCCCTTTGCAAAGCTAGTGAAAAGAAGCCTCATCGTTGTAGTAGGGATGGGAAGGCCATGCCTAAGCGCGATCATGTTCAGCTGGGCTTGGTTCACGTAGCCTGTCAACTTGTGGTCAAACTCTGTTAGGCTTCTGTACATATCTTTAAAGCAGTATGAATCATAGCTTCGAAGCATATCACAAAGCTGCATTGTCATTGATATTTTAGGCTTTTCAAGCCTCAGGCTCTCATTAGGGGACGCCAACCCTGAACTCAATGGGGGCGTGCTCTCACTTGATGGGTACCTACTGGACATTGGTATAGGAGGTAGGACTCTGAAAAATATGGTAAATCAAATGAATAAATTAATTTTTTTTAAAAATAAAGGAATGAATTGAAATTATTTTGTCATTAATTATGTGACAAGTTCCCACAAAATCTTGACAGTGACAATATAATTGTGTGTTTTTTTTATATAATTAAATTCTATAATTAATTGGAATGATATATAACTTATTGGGCAATGAGCAATTGAAGTTAAAGTATCAGCATTAGCCCAACTCAAAAAAAAAAAAAAGGCTTCAAACTTGAGTGTGTATGTACAAGTTGCACAGTTCATGCATGACTGCACATACAATGAACAGTTCCAAAATGCACTTATAGCAAATAACCTAAACATAATTCGTATTATTACGTTACAAATATAGTAGCAAAATTGTAACTTTTAGTTGTCAGATGTTAAAACCATATCAACTTGCTATGCCATCGCATCATCTCTTATCCATGCGTTTACCTGTGAGTACATGGGAGACTATTAGACCTCGTCCTCGTACCATGGATATGCGAGTTGCTGTTGTCTGGTGGCGAGGTTTTAGAAGCTATCGCTCGTAGCCGTTCATACTGCAAATATAATTACATTACTTATCAAATTTGATCTAATAGTAGTTAGATCTATATAGCATTTTATACCAGTCTCAAATAACATGAGGTAACTGCTTCCTCCCCTTGAAGTCTAGGCTACTGTACCCAGTAAACCAGTGCCTGCTACTCTTGCCTGTTACAATAGGGACCACACAAGCCAAGATAACGTAATGATGCTGTCAAGAACATTACTTTTACAGAACACAATAGCAATAATGTTTGTTGGGACTTTAATCGGACTGATGCATTTCATGTCATATTCTATAATTTATTGCCCTAGCCCTTGATGTGGCTGAGGTAGTGTAAATCACATTCCTTTTTACATAGCCTTGGCAGTCTATGCAGTTGGACTGAGACGCCATTCCTACTATTACCTGTTGTTTTGCAAGGTTGTCTTGTGTACCCTCATCACAGGTTATATTAGGCTGGGTCTGCATTGGAGAGGTTCCATATGGACTATGGTGGACAACAGGTGGTAAATTCTTGCCATTTTTTGCACTGTTAAACACAATGAAAAAAATAAAAAATAAACAGCTTGTTATAGAATTATATCTATAGCTCTCCTGTAGTATAAATAATCATCGAAAAACATTCAAGCATCATACAGTCATAATATGTTTATAATTATAAAACCAAGATGTAGGATCATTAGGCCTCAATGACACTTCTCTGTACTATGTGCATACTAACCTTGTTGGTGGTGAATCTATTGGAATCTCTACTGCTTTTCCTCCAATGATTTTCACATTACAAGTTGGTTGAACATCAGTTCCAAATGGAGCATTGCGTGCAGCTGACATTTTCTTGTGATTCATTGCAGTGGAATTTACATACTACTGGTACTGTAGTGTCAGCATCACTCAGAGAGCTGTAATTGTAATCAAATTTTGATTGAATAATTCAATTATATAATTGTTATTAATTATTGTCGGACTATGCTACATGGTTACTCTTTCTTTCTAACCTCACCACCACCTTTTTTTTAGGGCCTAGCTAGACCGCATTGTATTCATAACATTTAACTCAATCATAAACAAGTTTGGGCACACCTAGAGGCCTAAGCAGACGAATACCCAAAGCAGACACACTAGCTTAAGCCGCAGGTGTAAGGGACCTAGTAGAATACAACAGTAGCATACATTGTGTGGGACTTACCCTATGCTGTTAGGCCCTGCATATATTATATAGTAGATTTTGCTGCTTTTTAGCTTCGAGTAAGTTTAACACAAAATTTACTTAAAGTATATTGAATACGATACCTTATAAGAAGACTGTGGGAATTGGAATCTATGATTATCATTGATCTTTTCAACCATTTCGTAGAAGAAACCATTCCAAAGCAAAGCAGCGTCGTTCACTTTGGCAACAACAGTGTTTGTGTAATAGTTGAGGGCGCTAGACGAGTCAGGAACTCTACCAACAAGCATACGGAGTGTGGTCGATCGATCATAGAACACCTATTCATTGCTAACGATCTGTATCAATTATAATAGTTTGTAATACAGTGCAGTACCGCAATTGTTTACTGCTTCAAGTGATTGGGAACAAAGTCCGATGCCTTGTTTTGATATACTTTAGCAATGGACGAGACATTACCAGTTTAGATACCTGTATCTAGGCTACCTGTAGGTCATCATCTGCCAAGCGACATTTTTGCTGCTGTATTATTAAACTAAATACTGTAATAGGAAATTTAACCATCTGCATGTTTGTATTTCGGAAATAAGTTGGAAGAATTCACTAACAACTTAAAATATCTTAGGTCATCGCTTGAACGCCAATGGAAAGAGGATTGCTTTGATGACGGTGGAATTAAGAATTTGTGAGAATAAATAATGTGACGGAAGAGCTCTTATATAAAACTTCGAATTCACAATTTTGATCTGTTTCAATTATCGTCTCTTCGGTCTCATGATATGGTGTTCTATTGACATTAATATACTTTAATTTCTTAATCCGTCGATTTTTTTCATCATGGGAGTTACACTTGGAAAACAGAAGAAGACAACAAATCAACAAAAAGCTGTACAGACATTTCGCAGAGCGGCGTTCACTGTTGCTGCTTTTAAGAAAGCAAGCACAGCAACACAACCGACCATTAATATCGAAGATATTGTTGATTCCTCTAATAAAACGAATAATGATAATCACCACCTTTGTGGTAGTCCTATTGAAAGCGATATCACTATAAATAACTTGGATAGTAATGAAAAGAGGAATAGAATCTATCTTGGGGGGTCAACTGCTAGTTTGTCTCGAAAAGCAGAAATTTCGCGGTCTTTTGTGTTCAGAGATACAAGCGATGCTTGGGCGGCATTACGCGATGGACATTCACCTAATCCTGATGAAATTCCGTCCACAGAACTGGCAATGGTCAACTCTACCCTTGGTGGACATAAGACGGTTGAGAGGCGCAAAATTAGTTCAGTAAACGACAATTACAGTTCATCATTACCAGATCTAAGTAGGGTATCAGACAATCAGAATAATGAAACGACATTTTGTATACCTTACGAACCAAAAGAAGGTTGGAATTACAAGGTAGGAATAAGATAATCTTAAGCGATGTGCTAGTGTAGTGATTGAAATATATATTTTGTGTTTATAGTTTTCTTTGGAAGTAACGTTATGATTTTATATTGCAATACAGTACTTAAAGAGGGAACACTTCCAAGATGTTCAGCTGGTAGAGGTAAAATAAAAAAAATTAGGCCCCAATCATGTGGTGCTCTGGGCGTGGGCGTTTTTTTTTTTAATCGTTTGGGGGAAAACCCGACTATTAACAGGACTGGAACACGGAGCTCATGAATTGGAAGAAACACCTTAACCAGTAAGCCACAGTTAACTACCGGTACAGTTAACAAATGACACAGTGTCATACGCCTAACAGTGGCGAATTTAGAGGGAGCTAACCCGGGCTCTATCTTTGTTTAAAAAAACAAAAAAACAATTATGCTGAATAGTGAAAATCAATTAAATACAAACTCAAATTTTGAAATTGCTAGAGGTTTAAATGGGATTCACCCCTTTCACCCCTACCAGAGGCTCTTCCACAAGACTCCCACTAAGTTCGCACATTCATGCGCCTCTTTATTACCAATCTGGATCCGCCGAAGGGCTTTTAAACAATCTAAATTATTGTAATAGAAATGGTTAATATCAAGTGGTATTATTTTCTTACATTGTTATGACTGCATATTATTATTAATGCTGACAAATTTATTACATTAGAATACCGTATACTGTACATGTCTTCCCTAAAAGCGTACGATCTTTAGCTCTGTATCTTCTTAGTTTCTTTAAATCCCCTAAAAGTTATAGTTATATGTACAGATGTAGGAGTCTTTTTATGATTTTAGAATATTTAATCCTATAATAGGCCTATAATGGAAATTACAGGTTTGGTTTAAATTTAACGATAGCTTCTGATGATTTCTATAACATAGGCTTATTTATATCTTTTAAAATTAGGTGCAGCCCAGTTATCACTACCTGAAAAATATATAAATCACCTACGTTTCTTATATTCGATTTTTGTATTAGAGCCCTAAACAATAATTAATATTCTCCTGTACATAAATTTTACGTTCTCCTACATGTGTGTGTTTGATCTTGCTGTATATACCATTAGTAGCCAATCATCATGATCCAGAATCCTACTACTGCCTACGCTTCCGCAATAAATTGCCTTTTTATTTATTTATTTTTTTCATTGCCACTTTCAAATCTATGACGCAAATACAGAATGTCGTAAAATAAAATATTCACTTTGTATTGTTCAGGCGACAAAATAGTCATAATACAATGTTCCTACGAATATTAATTAGGCCTACACGTTGAATTTATACCAGATTAAATAATGAGGAACACAAATGCCAAAAGAAAGGTTTTGACAAAAATGATGAGCTACGTTATGTCAAGACAGTGTAGGTTTGGGTCCTACCTTGACATATAAAGCTTGTAACCATAGACGCAATTTAACAAACTTTGGTTTCAATGTGTACGATCGGCATCATTATTGAACAACAATTATTGTCGCTATTGTGTGAACATTATTATTGATTTTTGCAAGACATCTTCAGAAGATTTAGTAATAACAATGGGGTCATAACAAGGTATCGTTGATTAAGGTCAATTCGATAACCTTTGGTCACAATGTGCTATGTATCAGAATAGGTTGTATTTATTTTCATAATGAATTCACAAAAATATAATATGAATGCAAAAGGTTGTAAATTACAGAGTGACATCTCTACAAACTCGACAGATTTTACCAAGTGTGACGAATCATAATATATTATTGGTTATACAGTGTTGACATAGGCCCTATCCAGGGGTGGCGCCAGAGGGGGGCAAGCATAGCCCCCCCGTCGGGGAAGACGATAAATCCAGGGGGCTTCGCCCCCCTGGACCCCCAGCGGGGGGCCTAGGCGGCCCCCTGGCCCCAGCCAAGTGAAACTCGATTCGCTCCACTAGCCCCCCCCCCGTCGGGGCCTTTAGCCCCTCCGTCGGGCAGGTCCTGGCGCCACCCCTGGCCCTATCCCTCCTTTCGCAGCCGAAAAAAGGGTGTCCCCCCCCCCAAAAGACTGTAGGCCTACTTAGATCATGGCCTCCAGGTATACTGCCGCCTAATATAATTGAGAAAAAACTGGCAGGATCACTTAGGTTATCAACTTAAGTCATATATTTTAAAAAGTGTTTTCAATTATTTACTGACGTTACTATTAAAATCTTTAAATTAGCCTGCCTAATTTTAAGGGACGTATAACATTACGTAACTTTTTAAACGAGTTAATTTTCGAGGAGACTGTAATCTTGCTTAAATGTTAGTTGAAAGCTTGTAGGATCTTACTTAAATATACAAAGTAAGCAAATGAATTATTGTTTTTGTTCATTTTATTTACATGGCAAAGACCATGGATGTTCATGTCAATGCACAGAAGGTCATCTATCTCAGCTTGTTATATCTTTCACCATGGCCTTGATGGTACTCAGACCGTCCCAATGTTTTAGGGGCTGCAGACCGAGTCAATTGTTATGCAGAAGAATAGCCAATCATTGTCGCAACATGGTCACAACCACTTGTATATTCGTCTGTTGCACCAGAGAGTTGTTAGGCGATAACCCTGGTCAATCAAAAGGATTTAATTGATCGATCTATGCTAACATCCGTTGTACAGTACTGTATTCTGTTAGTTAAAACCTGTAACAACCGAATTCACTGACCAATCATCACCGGAAGCAGGTCAACTCGGCCACAAGTCAACTCGGCCACAGTTAACTCGGACACAAATCAACTCGGCCACA